GCGGAGGATGCGGTAAGTTTGCCTGCCCTTGGAGGTTGTTCGATGGGGGAATGGCTGATTAAATGTCTTGGCCTTCCTTTAGGTGGGAATCCGACTAGATCGTCCTTTTGAAAATTGGTAGTTATGAAGGTGGCTAATTGACGCTAATTAGATCGGTATTGTTATCTTTGCCGACTTATTCTATTGATCTTTAAAATCCCTATAGGAGTTGCAGCGAAGGTTAAAAAGTTGACGCGGGATTTTTCTTTTGGGGGGTTGTGAGGAAATAAAATCAGAGCACTGTGTGGCGTGGGCTGAAATTTGTAAACCTATGGAGAAAGTTGGTTTGGGGATTGGTAACTTGGTCCTTTGCAATAAAGCTCTTTTCTCGGAATGCCTTGTCATGGGAAGAAAATTTGCTATGGTGCAGAGTGATTAGAGTGTAGTTTAGGTCGAGCTTTGGAGAATGGGAATTAGGTGCAGAGTGATTAGAGGCATGTCCTTGGAAGGCCATTCAATCTTTGTTGCATGAGTTTAAGCGAACGTTAAGGTTACATTGGGCGATGGAAGGAGGAGGTTAAGGTTTTGGGAAAGATGTGTAGTTGGGTGAGGAGTCATTTTCTAATTGGTTTCCGTGTGTTTATAGAAATTAATCCCCTCATAATTTAGCTATCCCTCCATTTTACACTGATGGATAGGGGAGTAATTTATTCTGGAATTTTCACTTTAGGAGGGAGCTTAGTGAGGGAGAAATGGGAGAAATTTTGGAGTTATTGGGATGTCTAGAGGGTGTCAGATTGAGTGAGTTTATTCGTGATAGGTGGGTGTGGAACTTGGAGGGGTCGGGACTTTTTTCTTGTAAATCCTTCTTTAAATTTCTCATTGATGATCAGTCCTTTCCTCGTTTGTCCTTCATCCTTTTATTTGGAGTGTTTTGGTTCCTGCTAAAGTACAAATTTTTAATTAGTTGCTTGTGTCAAGTAAACTTAACACTTAGGATTTGTTGCAAAGGAGAAAGCCGTACCTTTATCTTTCGCTCGACTAGTGCGTTGTATGTAGAAATGCTAATGAAAATGTGGATCATCTTTTTCCTCACTGTCCGTTTTGGATTTGTATTTGGGATCATGGCCTGGGAGAGTCTGGCGTTGTTTGGGCAGTCCCTATTACAGTTATATAGCTTTTTGGCAATGACTTTTATTTGGAAGAATTAAGAACATTAAGAGAATGTGGCAAGTTGTTGCCCTTATTGTTATGTGCGCTCTGTGACTAGAAAGGAACAATCAAATTTTTGAGGCCGTTCACAGAAACACTAGCTAAGTTTGGGATAAAATCAATTACTGGGTTGCATTGTGGTTGGCTTGACCGAAAAATTTTAGTGGGGTCTCATTTTCATATTTTCTTAGGGGTTCGGACATTGTTTTGCACTGAGCAGGGATTTTGTTTGTACTTTTAGGCCCTGGGGTTCTTTCTGGTTTTGCTCTTTTTTGGTTGTTGCTTGAAAAGGGGGCTTGGGTATTCGAAATCTGTTGAAGAAAAATCAAGTGCTGTTGGGTAAATGGCCTTGGTGGTTCCTTGTGGTAAATGGCTCTTTTTGGGGTTCCATAAACAGAAGCACGTGATTCAAACCAATGGATAGGAATCTAATATTGTAAGTAGAAGCACTCATGGGAAGCCATCAAAATATATCTCTTGGGGTTTGAATTTGTTACTTGATAGAGAGGGGTGACGTGGGGGATGGTATCAAGATAAGATTTTGGGAGGATAAGTGGTGTGGTGATTTGCATTTTGCAATCACCTTTCTTAGGCTTTACCGTCTAATTCGAGTTAGGGGAGTGAAGATCAAAGAAGTTTCAATCACTGGAGTAGACTCTAGTATTAATTGGGATTTTGGCTTTTGGAGGAATTTAAGTGACAGAGAATTTGGTCAACTTTCTATTTTTCTTGTTGTCTTGTGGACTTTTTCTCTAGACCTCTTAAACCTGAAGAAAGGATTTGGTCTTGAGTACAGAGTTTTTCATGTAATTCATATTTTGTCTCTTTGGTAAAAAATTCAAACCTTTTTCCCTTTCCTACCTTATAGATTCATTTGGAAATCTTGTGCTCTTGTGAGAGTTAAGGTTTTTGCTTGGAGTTAAGAAGGCCCAAACTATTTGGCTCGCTATTGTCTTGGCTATTCTTTGGGTATTCTGGTTGGAGCGTAATAGAAGGATTTTTGAAGACAAGTATATGGCCATTGAAGATTTAATTGAGAAGGCTAAATTCTTAGCTTCATTATAGGCCTCGACTGATCCTTCACTTAAAACACTTTCCTTTATCCTTGATCTTATTTAGTTGGGATGATGTTTTGAGATAGGTTTTCTTTCTGTTATCGCCTTGGTTGTACTGAATTGTTTGTTTTTTCTTTCTTTTTTAGATGGATTCCTCATTTGTAATTCTTCTTGAAAAAAAAGAAAAAAAGAAAAAAAAGGGATCATTGATTTAAGCAGTTGTACATTGGAGGATTGTAGAATGGATTTGTATTGTGATCTGTTGTTCTTGTATGTAAATGTAAATATATATATATATATGTATATATATTATCGGAAGATTAAAAGCTAAGGTTGGGAATAGGCAGCACCGATTGGGAGTTTAGTGATCTTTTGTCCTAGAGGTGACCTTTTAGTTGGCTTAATATTTGAAAGTGTCGCTTTTAAGACTTTAGGCTATATTCCAACGGACCTTAATGGTGATCCTTTGGTTTTGATCTTGGGACTCTGTGTGTTTTACGAGCATGGAATGAAATGCAGAGGATTTTGATGATAACCAAAATCAGTAGGTTGTGGCTATTCCTTTGGGAATGTTGGCGTTTTTGGGAAATTAAGCTTATGATTAACCATTTCACTAAAACTTTTGCCCCTTGGTTTTTGAATTAGACACATTGAAGAGTTGGTGTTGTAATCTATCTTGACCGCTTGTCATCAAATAATGAGACTATGTTAGTCTAGGATTGATTTTGCTTGCTTGACATGAGTTGGCTATTACATATTTCTTGCAAATCATTCATGGTTGTAATATTGGTTGAGGTGATTTTTCTTTTATTAGGAATTATTGATATTGGTTTATGAGTCTTGAGAGAGGTGCTTATTGCCTCCACTTTAATAATCATTTAGTTTGTTTATAGGCTTTGATTCAGGAATAAGTGAATGATTTGGGAATTAGGTCTCATAGGATTGTATTGTTGATGTCTTATGGTATGAGGTCACACACAGAAAAATAGTAGGTTGTTTTTGTGGATATAGGTATAGATTGACGTGATATGAGCCAATGAGACTTATGGGAGATTGGTCCTTAACTTGAGGTTTTACTCATTAATTTTGGTTGTTTAGTCTTTGGGGGAATGTTATTTTGATATACATAGGGTGGTCCAATTCAAGAATGGTTTGAGACCTGACATTTAAGAGAAAAGAGGTAACTACTCAGAACACTTCTCTTGATGTAGTGACAGCCGCTCAGATTGCAGAAATAGTAGTGATGATAAACCAAACCAGGAGAAGGGAAGGGACACAGGAAACAATCTAGAGACAATTAGGGAAGTAGTAGGGGTTTTATTTTTATGTTCTCCGATTTAGAAATTGACTTTCTCGCTTTTTGATATGTTCTTGTTTTGTTTTCAGTTTTATATAAATGTGCTGATAATACGAACCTATTGTGAAATTGATAAAAGCCCCTTGATTTTCTTCAAGCTGTGTATCTTTATTTCAATATTCCTCCTTCCACGTACAAGTTTAAGTATCTTTCTCCTAATCTGACGTTCTGTTAATACTGATTTTTGAAATACTGATTTTTGTGGAGTTTTAGGAGACTTTTCGAGCTTTATTTCAATTTGCCCTCTTAAATTGACTTATGATCAGAGAACTTACGTTTGATTGGTCATTAACCTGATTTCCTTAGTAATACTTCTGGGAGAGGTTGTGGATTCTGTTAGTGACTTGGATATCTATATAGTTAGATTTAGATCAAGAACTTTAATCTGCATTGAAATGTGCTCAATATTAAAAGATGTTAAATGAGTGATGTATGATGAACACTTCATTTCGATATTATGTATTTTGATCTCGTTTGCTTCGTGGATTCGATTTTTTAATTTTAGTTGAGACGTGATATTTTCTGAGAGTTTTTAATTGTAGTAGAAAAAATTAGATGTGACATTATCTGAGAGCTTTTAATTGTAGAAATTTAGAACTGAAAACTCGAATCGGTGAAATGAACGTGACCTTTGTATCTATGTTTGACAGGTGAACAAATCAGTGTGGGTCTTATTAGTTGAATTGAAATAAGAGATTTTATTCCAAAAAAAGCTTTGATGGCGGTGTCGTTGTGGAGAGACGAAGAGGGAGAGGAAGCGGTGTCGTTGCGGCGGTTGGCGAGATTGAGAAGAGAAAATGGGTTGGGACTGAGGCGGCGGTTTTGATGGCAGCTGCTTTTGGTGGGAATATACAGAAATAGGAATTAAGGTTATGATTTTTCATTTTTTTTTTTCTTTTTTCCTTTTCTTTTACACGTAATTCACTTTGATGATTTTTTATCGATTTTTTGGTACTGATATTTTTTTTTGCTTCTTAATTTATTATTTTTTTTAAATTATTTTCATAAATACCCCTTATACTATTTACTCTATTTTAAAATACCCTTTAATTTTTTAAAACCGTTCAAAACACTCCTTAAACCTGCCACTTCCCAAAATCCCCTTTTCTCCTTGATCGAAAACCCAAAACCCAAAACTCCCCTCCATCAAAACCCACAACCCACTCCTCAGTTAGAATTACCATTGACCACGGTTTTGGGTCGTGACAGATTCCATATGGAATATTGGTTGAATTGAAATAAGAGATTTTGTTCCAAACCAATTTCTTATGCAGAAACCCTACTTATCAGAATAGCCATTGGCCTCGGTTTTGGGTCGGGACAAATTCCGTATGGAACAACCCAATCATTTGAATCATATACCATTTTTTTTTTAATGTTTTCGCCATTATGCATATTCCCGCTACTATTTAAAAATGATTAGCACTTCTAGATTGCGGAGTCTTAACATTAGGTGTCAGGGTGTGTTTGGTTGGAAGTAATGGAGTGGAAAGGAAAGGCTATTCTACCCAATTTCATTTTTGGTTCCATTTTTTTGTTTAGAAAGGGCTTTCCTACTGAAAGCCGATTCACTCAATTTGAGTGAATCCTCATTCCCGTTGGGGGGCAATGGAAAGGTCTTTCCATTCAGGCCTCATTTCTTTTTTTTTTCTCCAAAATTTCCCCGATAGAGAGAAGAAACCTTAGCCCGCATTTCCTTTGCGATTGCTACTCCATCGAGCTCCACAAAAGCTTTTCGCTCCTCTCCTTCTCTCTTCCTTTTCTTCCTTCCCCCAAACTGAATCTCTGCGTCTTCTTCCTTTTCGTTTCAATCTCCTCCTCAGATTCCGATTTCCTTTAGAGCTGGTTCTAGCTTCACCAGTGCCTCAATTTCCGACCAAAACGAAGAGGTTCCCGCCGGCGTCCAATCTAATTTCGCTGGCGTGCGATTGGAGGAGATGGTCGCGGCTGATTCCGGCAAGGCCAGGCTCGATTCTTGGATCTCTTCTCGTGTTAGCGGAATCAATAGGGCTCGCGTGCAGTCTAGCATCCGACAAGGAGGCAAATTTCTGCAGCGAAACTTTTTGGAGCTAGCAGAAGTCTCGTAGAGATCATTTTGAGGTACTATTTTGATTTAAGTTCTTATGTGTTGCTAACGATTATAAAACGTTGCATTATGATAGGTTTTGGAGTATGTTCTTATGGAAAAAAATTTACGTTTATATATATTAGAAGACAAGCGGTAAAGTGAAATTGTAGGCTTCTAGTATTTTTGAACTAGTGCTTATTTCAGCTATGTATGTCTCACTAGTGTGCCGTAAGTTTTTGAAAAATCATTTAAGATGATAAGTCTGCAGTAGATTGGAGGCAGCTGGTTCAGTTCTTGTTTTTTGTTTTGTTTTGTTTGTCTATTTTTTTTTTCCAATTGCTTGCTACTGCAATTTCTAATGATCCACGACTTGAAAGGTTGAGTTTATTCTGATAGATAAATAACGTTGAGATTATTGCCTTTCTACTTGTTTTTCTTTTCACTTATTCTTGTGAAAGAAGAAAATTGTCGGACACTGATAAGAAACTAAACAATTTTGTTATTTTTGTCCCTTTTGTTTGTTCCTAGGTGACAGCTATCGGGATATTATTCACAAGAGAGGCAGTCTAAATGTCTTTTTTTTTTTTTTTTTTTGGTTCTCGTTGTTCTGAATAATTTTTGATAGCTTCTTTGTTGCTCGTGATTATACTTTTATGCTTAGTGTTTTAGACAAGAGTTTAAATGTACTAATTTAGTTGTTTTATTGTAGAATAATGGCTCACTTAAGATCAGGCAAAAGTGAAACTTTGAGAAAGAGGAAGATAGTTGCTTTGTTTTTACATTGGTTGAATATTATACATATTGTGCAATAGTTCTTTCAATTAATTGAAAGAGTAGTGATGGAGGATATAGAATCAAACTTTGTACAGAGACAACTTTCTATGCTTGACGTCATATGGGATTTAGACAGGAAAACGGTTACTGCTGAGAAGTCGATGTGGGAAGCATATCTCAAGGTACTTATAATATAATTCAGTAATATGGTTGATAATAATAAAAGTTCATCTAGTTTAATCTTTTTTTGTATAAAATTAAGAGTCACAGGGAATCAATACCATTTAAGACCAAGGCTTTTCCCTACTATGATGACTTGTGTATGGTTTTCGGCAAAGATCGTGCAACCGGTAGGGGTTCCGAGATTGCTGCTGATGTAGTTGAGGAAATTGAAAAAGAAAGGTGACGGCATTAATATTGATGATGATTGTATCAATAGCATTCACAATATGGGTGTGGATGAAGTACAATCAATGTCTTTCTCACAAGCATCAACTATTCCTCAATCTCAAGGGTCTTCTAAAAAAAAAAAAAAGAGCACAAACAATGCAGAGGTTTATGATGCCATTAAGGAGTCATTTAGTTTACTTGTTGGTGTTATTGAAAATGCATCTGAACGTTTAAGTCGCGCTATTGGTGAAGACATGATGAAAAAACATAGCCGGATTAGAGATGAGCTACAAAGGACCACAACCATTAACATAATAGAACGCCATAAGATAGCTCACATGATGATAAAAGATGATGTTTTAGTTTCATACTTTTTTAGTATTCCTGATGATGAAAGAAATGAGTGGGCTAAAGCTCTTCTTGCTAGTGATATTTAGGAGTGGTTTAGGGCTTGTTCTTTTGATGTTTTTGAGTTAGGTAACTTGAGTGTTGATTTTGAGTTGAGTTTGAGTTATAACTTGAGTTGAAGTTGTAATTTGAGTTTGTGTTTGGTTGTGTACATTTGAGATCAGAATCTTTTTAAATTTGTGTTTGAGTGAGTCAAAACTTGAATTTGTATTTAGATAGTATTTTAATAAAAATTCAATGCTAATGAAAAATTTTAATAGGGTATATGGGTCGGGTTTTATTCGTCTTTTCGTTGTCAACGCATAGAAAAAAAATCATCTCAATCAGAATTAAAACGAAAAAGTTATAGTATTTTTAAGAATAGAAAAAATACTGTTCATTAATTTGAGTTCAAGTTTTTGAACTCGAGTTGAAAGAAAAACTTGAACTCGAGTTTTAGTTCCAAACTCGAGTTCAAACTCGAGTTTGAATTCGAGTTCAAACTTAAAAAAATATGAACTCGAATAAAGTTGTAACTCGAGTTGCTTTTTTTGAGTTTTTCACTCAAAAACACCACAGCCGAACAGTCCCTTAGTTTCATGGTTACATTTATCATTTGATATTGTAATGTATGTGATATGCATTTCTTTTTTGATAGTGTAACTAATTAAGATTATGCTTCACTTTATTAAATTATACTAATTAGGATTCTGCTTGATTTGGCAGATGATGGATGTTGTATATAGGTGAATCTACTAGTTATGGTGTTTGACTATATTTTGGAATTAGATGAGCATCTATGTTGTGTATTTTGATGACTTAAATATTTTTATATATGTAGTTTGATGATATATTAGTTCATTTTTACTATTTATAGGGGATTAAAGTAATCATTTTACTCGATGTTTTGTACTAACCTATTTATAGAGTACATGTTTTGTACTAATTTAATTACTTCACACAAGGATATTTTTTTAATCACACTTATTTTGTTTTGATTCATTATGATTCTTTACTAAGTAAGCCACAAAATTAGAATTTGATTCCCTAATAGATTAAAATAATGAATGAAAATTGAATGGTTAGTGTGATAAGTGAAACAAAGTGGTCAAGAATTGATAATATTATGAAATAGTTAGGATAATTTTAAAATAATAAGAATGTGTAAAAAATAAATTTAATCATTTTAAAATCAAGCGGGTGTATTTAGAAGGGAGCTAAAAAGTAAAAAAAATGTGAATAGAATCATTTCTTATTTAATGCTTTCTTAAAATGATTCAAAATGGAATTTTGTAATTTAATTAAGAGGAAAGATTAAGCATTCCTCAATTATATCTTGGACTTTCTATTTTGACAATTATATCTTTTAGGAGTTTCTATGTTTACTTATTCAAAGTTAGGTTTTGTATGCTTACATGTTTCGTATTTTACATTGCGTGTTACGTTGTTGTATTAAGTATTAATAGACCAATTTTTTGTCTCGAAAGCAGTTTAAAAAGTATGAGAAATTGACTTAAAACACCCAGCCTTCATCTTCAAAATAACAAGTATACCAAGTCCACTCCAACACTCCACCAAACACAATCGGTTATATTTAATGCAAACCAACAGTGGGACGGAAAAGTGGGCATAAAATTTTATAGTTATATACCTGTTTATAAACAAGCTTTCCTAAAAATCGAAAGAGATTAAGGGGTTATTTTTTTGTATTTTTTAGTTAGGATAACTTGAGTGATGATTTTGAGTTGAGTTTGAGTTATAACTTAAGTTGAAGTTGTAACCTGAATTTGTGTTTGGATGTGCACATTTGAGTTATGATTTGAATTGAGAATCTTTTTGAGTTTGTATTTGGGTGGGTGGAAACTTAAATTTGTATTTAAATAGTATTTTAATAAAAACTCAATGGTGATGAAAAATTTTAATAGGGTATATGGGTGGAGTTTTATTCGTCTTTTCATTGTGAATGTATAGAAAAAAATCATCTCAATTAGAATTAAAACGAAAAAATTATGACATTTTTAAGAATAAAAAAATATTTTTAATTAATTTAAGTTCGAGTTTATGAACTCGAGTTGAAGGGAAAACTTAAGGGTTGTTCTTTTATATTTTTGAGTTAGAGTGATTTGAGTGATGATCTTGAGTTGAGTTTGAATTATAATTTGAGTTTGTGTTTGGATGTGCACATTTGAGTTATCATTTGAATTGAGAATCTTTTTGAGTTTGTATTTGGGTGGATCAAAACTTAAATTTGTATTTATATAGTATTTTAATAAAAACTCAATGGTGATGAAAAATTTTAATATGGTATATGGGTAGGGTTTTATTCGTCTTTTCGTTGTGAATGCATAAAAAAAATCATCTCAATCAAAATTAAAACGAAAAAGTTGTGATATTTTTAAGAATAGAAAAAATAATGTTCATTAATTTGAGTTTGAGTTTATGAACTCAAGTTGAAGGGGAAACTTGAACTCGAGTTTAACCCCAAACTTGAGTTCAAACTCAAATTTTACAAAAGAACATGAACTTGAATAATGTTGTAACTCGAGTTCAAACTTTGTCTGAGTTTCGTTGCAAAAGAACAACCCCTTAATGTCCGAAGGTATTGTTATGTTTTATGGTATATTATAACTAAAAATTTCTTCTCTGGTTAGTCGATATTTGTGGAGTGCCAACTTAATAAGGTTTTTCTTATTATACGATAAACTTTTTGTTTCGTGTGTAGTTATTGTAGAGAAGACCATTTTGCTTTACCAATAGAAAGTAGAAAATGTTTTAGCAGTTGAGTTAGTTTTATAACTGTCATATTTGGAACATGAACAGTCTTGTGTTATGTGCTGTAAATTTTTAATGTAGACGTTCATAGATCAAACAATTAAAAAACTAATTTAATAGTTTAAAATAACAGTTTTTACAAGTGGAGAAAAACACATGTCTTATCATAAAAGTTCCCTTTAGTTTCATGCTAAAATCTTCTTCTAGGGGAAAAGTAATTACTATATGAGAAATTTTCATTAGCATATTTTGACTGATACGCCATGCACTTTTCATCAATAAAATTGAGGGGGTGTTTCTGTTACTTTTTAAAACTTTTCGAAGAACGGGATAAGACCTTTCAAAATTTGATGAGCAATGTGTTACAAATGCTCAAGGTTGGAGGGAATTTGCAAAAAAATGTCCTAACATCAATCTTCTAAAAATTGAAGCCTAGTTAAATATTATGAGTTTCTATATATAATTCGAAAAAAAATATATTTAAACTAATAATTTCAAGTCCGCTCAGCATATTAACGAAAAAAACGTAACTTTCGTGTCACTTGCAATTTTTTTTTTTAATAGAAAAACCTGAAATAACTTTGATGATAATATGGGAAAACTTTGAAAAGGAGAAGCATATTATTGTGGGAACCGTAATATTTGACTTTGAATTTTGGTAAATCTAAACTAGTGATTAACTTTGGCCTATGCTTACTATGTAATATCCATATGTTGCCGTGAGAGTTGATTGGTTTCACCCATAATGAATTTTTATGAAAGATTGATGTGAGAATACATTAAAGTTAAGAGACTCATATTACTCACCCAAGCAATTTGTGAGGAGGAGAAGGAAAGCAGAAATGAGAGCAATTGTAATGAAACCACCAGAAGACTTTGCCATTTTTTGTAGCTTACTTTAGACAATGCGGAAAAGGCTCTGGCTTAATTAAGGGGGAAACCAAAAAAAAAAAAAAAAGATCATACTTGTAGAATATGAAACTTTGGCTTTACCTCTCGAGTTTTGTGTAAATATCCCGCACAATAACAATAATCAATAGTGTGTGTATATAAATATAATATCTGTGTTTTTTTTTTTTTTTTTTTTTTCACAGGGTGGTTATAAAAATATAATTTTTTTTTTTTTTTTTTTTTTTTTTTTTTCACAATTCGTTAGTATTTAGAGTAATAAATTTATTCCGACAAGTAATCTGGCCACTGAAAGTGCCTCTCAAGAAGCATTTGTGATTTGTTGTATCCTTAAAAATTGACCAATTGATCAAAAGAATGATTTTAAAATCTAATTAATGAAACACGAAAACAGCTAAAAGAGTGAAACTAAAGCATGATTGTTTTTGGTTGATATTCTAATATACACATGTGAGATGATCATTGTATTGTACTTTCAAAACTACCATATACATAACTTTAGATTAACTAAAATAAACACGAAAATTTCTCGAAATCCAATTTTTCATTGATTATTTGCACTATTTACTACGAAGAATGTTGACTATAGATACAAATTATTCCATAAATAATACATGACACCAAAATCTGCCCAAAAACATTTTTTTATTCCTCTCACTAATTTCTCTGCTCAATATATATATATATATATATATTAATAATTACTAGTGAGAATAACTGATATCTAAGGCAACTTGTGCTCACTACTCACAGCTTCAAATTACTTCCAGGTCTATTATCCAAACAAATTAAAGATTCTTCTCTTGCTTAGTTTGGATTGAGACTACTGATCATGATCTCTCCATTCTGAATGAGTCTCCACCATGAACAGGTCGAGAAGCACACCTTCCATATAATCATCAATCAATTGCAAGCCTTGAAGAGCTATCAAGCACTCGAAATTGCAGAACTTTCGAGTTCTAATCGGCGGTTTTTCCCTTCCTTTTTTCCCCTTTCATCCACTTAAGCGAGCAGTAAGATTGATGAAGATGTCTTCTCCGCAAGGAATTGTTAGACCACCCATGGGATGGTTATATCCATATTCTTCTACAGCTTGGCTAAGCAAAACCTTGAACTCTTGGTGGTTCAAATACGACACCGGGATCACGAAACGTTTCTTTTCACTTTCTCCAACGTAAACTGCGCAATACCCCTTTCGAACATCTTTAGAACCAACCGAAGAAGACCTTCGGAGGAACTGCTTAGCGTGAACAACGCCAGGCAAGCGAATCGCCATGATCGATGTTTTTAAGAAACTCAGAGAAATATAATGCTTGCTATTGTGATGGCTGATTTTTTGTGTTTGCTAATGACTAACTCGGAATCATATGATATATATATATATATATATATATATAGATAAATTATATGTGCGTATATAATGGAATGTGGGGTATCCATTAATCCAATTTTAAAATGATGGGGGGCCTAGTTCGTGCAAACGAACGAGTGAAGAACCACATGGAGATGTCTAGGTACAACTCACAATGAAAAATTAAAGATTGATTCAAGGTGTCATTCATAGTGAAAGACAAAAACACTCTGCCCTATCTCTTTTGTAAGGCAGCTATTAAAGGACCCAGTAGTACTTCTTTATGTTGTAAAGAGATGTTTAAAGTTTTGAAAACGGCTTTTTTTTTTTTTTTTTTTTTTTAAAGAAAAGTAAAGGAAATCTAGTCACTTGATTGATCAACTTGCATAAAAATCTCAATGGAAGTGGGGAGCCATGTCATTGCCACATCATCGATCAAAGATGATGATCAATATTCAAAAAGGTGAAATCGGTTTTGTGTTTGGGACGTTATTATATATTGTATAAAAGATAAAAACAATGAAAGTTCAAATAGTCCTTGTGATGTCCAATTCCATCGTATAGAAGATCATCAATGAATTTATCATAAAAGTTTTTGTTTTAGCTTTAGTCCCGTGTTAGAGTACTACCACGATAATCATATTGAATAAAACCTAAGCAAATCCAGAATTTGAATGCCGTCATTTGTTATAAGCAGATAACACTCATAAAACAATATGATAATTATTCGGCGGCAAGCATATATATTAATTAATCTCGTTCTAATGCTTTTGCACGACATTTAGCATATTGCATTTTGCCAACAGTTTTGAATCATACACCATGTTGTGATGATGAGTTCTTATAATTCCATATTCTGATCCTGAGAAAGATATATATATATTATACACACACACACACACACACAAGACATTATTGGATTAATTTCAAAATGGTATATAGAGAAGGAAATTGACCTCTATAATTGGCTTTGCAGGAAGGGGTTAAAATTATAACATGTAAATTAAAACAACATGAATATATGCTAATTGATTAATCAAAAATCTAGGAATAAGAAAAAAATAATAATAATAAACAATATTTGGGAGTGCCGGCTTTTTGCCTTTCGGTGTGTAGATATAGAGAACACAAGATTAAGCTGCTTTATGGTCTGAAAATAATCACCTCAAAATTAAGGATATATACATATATATATATATATATATATGATTTTGCGCAGAGGTATTTATATAAGCTGGAGTCATGGGAATTGGTTGGTAAATATGTCTTGTAGGAATCACAGTCACATGGGTTTGTCTCCCATTTTATATTGGATTGATAGGATATATATGGTAAGCTATCCGTACGTAACTAATTATCTTGGCCTATCTGATCAATAAGAAAAGACATGGATATATATAGTACAGCTAAGTAGTACTATACTTTGGCAAATGTTTTTATTTTTTTTATTTTTTTTGTGTCACTGCTGTATTATTGAGCTTCTCACAAATAATGCATATATGGTGGCTGTTGTCTCATATTATCTCAGATTTCTATATGATTCTATAATTTTCCTTGAAGTATAGCAGAACTGATTCTGTAACATGCGCGCATGCAGTACTCAGATAAAAAAGAAAAATAGTACATTTAAGACCATTTGGAAATTGTGTATGTAAGAATTCTTTTATAGTGAATGGTGATCAGAATTCTATATATATATAATGTTTGGGACACACTTATAAATCTTATTATGCTGCAAGATTTAGGAGTTGTTCTTTTCACGACTCAAGTTGAGAATTTGAATTATGTATGTGAGAGAAAAACATTATAGTAAAAAAATTAATTTTAAATTTGTATAAAAGAAAACACTATAATAATAAAACTTAAGTAGTAAAAAGAACACACCTTACTTTCTATTAATAATATGAACACCACGTTGCACTATTAAAAAAAAAAATTATTTATATATAATCACCTAGCTAGCCAACCATTCATCGTACCTACTTTAAGTTATAGTTGAAGCCCTACTCCGTACGTACGTCAACTAAAACAAAGACCATCACCCACTTGTTATTATATTAAAGTCCTTTAAGTAATTATTATTATTTGTTGGACTTTCAACCATTAATTTGAACAGGAGATATTAGCAATATTTACAAAAAATCAATGTATAGCAGCCCGCGTGACGATGCTTTTTGATAACATAACAAAAACCAACCACGACACGGTTTATGAAGTTTGGCGACTCGATTCGGTAGGTTAATTTGAAGGAAAAGTGGCGCTTATGTATTAGAGCACCAAAGACCAAACTTGTTCTATAATAACCATGAAAATGAAACTGTCGATTTCTCGATAGTCATCATGTCTTATGAGAGTACTGAATTGTAAAGAAACTAGGAAATTTCCTTTGGAAATCTGGCGAGCTCTTCATTGCCCCATACAGTGTTTCTGATTTCATTGGACTGTTTCATATTATATATATATATATATATAATATGTATATATGCCAATCTAATTTGATATAAACCTTATCTTATGTCGGTTGTAAAGTTTGTGTGTTTGGTCGCGTTGATAGAATTTACAAAAGAGGACAGACTTAATTGAAATGTTTATTCTTTAAAGTTGATTATCAGCGTACCTTATTAAAAAGAAGTCTTATATATACGTCGGTTGAATGATGTAAACAATTATCAATTGTTTACAATGGAACGGGTACAAAAAAAAAAAAAAAAAAAAAAAAAAAAAAAAAAAAAAAAAAAAAAAAAAAAAAAGACTACTCTCAAAGTACTATAGCTGCACCCATCTTCGGTCATTTCCACGACATATATAATTATGATTGTTCTTAGGTTAGTGATGAATCCTTCTTTGTGGATCTTTTGACATCATATATAGTGTATGGTCCAAGCATATACGTACATAGAAAGAGTCAATTGGCTTCAAAGAATGCTGTGGGTGGAATTATTTTAGATTTATCACTTCTTTCATATTAGGAATGCATTCAACTAAGGCCTAGCCGAAAGAAGTTCTTTTGATGTCATGAGAATCAAATACGTACCCCAAAAGACATTACGTACTACATAAAACAACTTTAAAATTTAAAAAGTTAGGTAAGGCGTGCGGTTCAGAACCAATTTAGGGCTGAGCGACCACAAGTGAATGTTGTGGAGTTGAGTGGGATTCTGGGGTTCATTTAAATTTGACCAATTGGGTGTGAAATGTAAATGGATGTTCATACATATGGAAAAAAATAATAATAATAAGTGAACTAGTGATAGAACGTCTATATTCTAGAGGAAAAGTTGTACAAACTTTTATGTTGTCTCCATAGACGCCAATCGTTCTATCCGTGGTTATATCATAGAGGCTAAAGTTAGGGGGAAAAAAACTATGTAAGAAGTTCAAGGAATACATTATTTTGCTTATTGACAACAAATTGACAAGGAAATTAAGAATGAACACAAAGAAATCCTTCAATAGAGTTTTGTGCCCCAATTTTGCGGAACCAACAGATAATATGTAAGATTTCATCTCATTTGGTAAATTTTTAAAAGGGTGTTTGGACATAGAAGCTTTATACACGAGATTCGAAGAAGATGCAAATATGAGTGGCACCACTATCTATAATCCATTCAACAGAAATATTATTTAAAGTGAGACGAAACAAATTTGGAGAATACAGACTTGTAACATTTTAATTTCGGCTAAGATTTATCATCATATAGAAGGATGTCACGACCTCAAAGGAGGGACCGTGATCGAAAATAAATACATAAATATCAAAATGTATTGTTTCAGAGTTTTTTTTTTTTTTTTAACAAATAATATTAAAATAATCCACAAAATTTAAAATAATACAACTCTGAGATAATGTCGATCAATACAATATATATACAGAAATACAGTACAACTCAGAATTAAAAATTGTAAATTCAGAATAAAAAGAACCACCTCAAATCTCGAGCCTTCAATCCATTGGCATCAACTTGCCACGCTGCAAATCACTTGCTAACTCTAGAAGGGGGAAAACATTTAAAGCAGGGGTGAGTCAAATGCCTAGTAGGGAGGAAAAGGGACAACGACAATAAAACAAAGAAGGTGAAATAATTATAAAGACTCGAACACCATCAAAAATAAAATGCATAACTCAAATGCAGGAGATGATAATATGTGAAAAACACCTAATCATGACTGATGCAGTCAAATGTAGAGTCAAGCGGATAATCAAGTACTTAAAAACTCTTTCAAAATACTATATCATTTTCAAATCCATTTCAAAAGTGATAAGGTACCCAGTGTCTAAATAGTTTACAAATACTGGGTATTTATAATTCTATTAGACACTAGAATATCCAAAAATTTTCAAAATAAGTAAAGATAAAATTCATATGCCGGTAGTTTGAAATACTCTTTCAAAATACCGATGCGTAGTTTAGTGCAAAACCAAATCACCACCCACACTATGGAGTGGCCCGTATGGGTTTCGGGACCTGCCCCAAAGGATACGATCTCCATATTGTGATCTCTATGGCCATCATGCTGAGGTCAACTATCTAAAATGCTCATTAAATAGCGTTTGAAAACTCATATATATCATGCTCAAATTATCTCAATTTGAGACTTGATCTGTTTTCTAAAATTCACTTTTGAAAACTATGATTCGCGAAAGTCAGATTTTCGGGAACATTTTCCATCTATATATAATCGCTATATATATATGTATACAAATATACTTTTTAAAATCCTTTTTTAAAATCTTAACATCGATAAAAGACTAGGTTTTATACCGAGAAGTGATAAATATATTTGAAAAAGGAAGATGAAAGTAATCTCAACCTCAAATAAGTCCAAAACTCAAGAAGTGAACGTGCTATGTTCAATTTTCCATAAGGTATTTGTGTATGCACAACCAACAATGTAAAAGTGTAATTCCAATAAAATCTATTATGTTTCCAACACGTATGTCAAGTGTTAATTTGTCCTCTTTTAACACTTTTTCCGTATTC